ACCCATACTACTCATACTGAAGCATATCAAGGAAGTTGAGTATCTGAAGTGTAATTTTTGTGTACTTTCGGGTTAATAATGTGGCCTTTTGGCAGTTTAACTAAAGGTGTGCGGCTGCTGCCGTGAGGAAATATCTGCCTGAAATTACAATGGGGTTTAATGGAGGAATGTTGAACGTTTTCTGTCACTTCATGCCCTCAAAAAGCAATTTGTTTAATTATTTTGCTTAATTATTTGTAATTTTTTAAGCTACGAGATGTTTTCCTACGTTTGTCATGATAAATTATGTCTCAGGAATGTAGGGTTTGGGAATTATGGCAGTTTTAAAAAAATATATGAAGGCAAATTTCAAGATTTTCTATACCCTCTAGCTGTGACATCACGCACTCTAGTTAATGTTAAAATCTGAAGAAAACCTCTAAAACAAGGTCTGAACAATGTTTAATATCTCTAAAAGTGAGAATCAGATTTAAAAGTTGTGTTACACGAATAATGTCAGAAAGATGTGTAACATTTTAAAGTTGGAATGAGGTTTCTGAGTGAAAGTATGAATGAACAGTTACCAGTTGAACTCGCATGAAGATTTGTTGAAGTTGAAGAATTTCTCCATTGACTTCAATGTTAAAAATGTGATGAATTATGGGATGTATCTCTGGAATTATGAAAGTTATGAATGATAAAAGTAATAGCCATCGATTCCCGACCGAGCTGAACGTTTTGATGTTTGTTTGGAGTTTCTGCTATGTTCAATGCGGGAGGAGAAGCGCGGCAAAATAACGGGTGGATTCTTATAATAAGAATAAAGAATTTCGTGCGTAGAAGAACAGATCACTAAATGATCAGATTTACACTAGGTTTCCCTCACAGTGACTCCTCTCACGTGGAACATTTACAGAAAAGGAAAAGTGAGGGACACAATATACAGTATAGGGGGGGAAGTCCTCACAACAATAATCTCCTGAGCACAGCGACCACACTTCAGAGGTTCCGCCCACTGATCTCCGACCTTGTCAGGTATTGAACATTCAATAAAATGAAGAACACAGAATTACTTAACATATAACACAGAATTTGTGTGATTATACAAAATGATTTACAAATAAACCCCACTGCATATTTACAACTGTTACATATGTACAAAAGACACTTGAGGTTTAAAAGAAAAAGCTTCAGGTTTTAGTGAGAAAACCCCCTCTAAAGTTATGTTTGCTGCAAACGGGAAGCGTGAAATACCCAAAGAACTCGAAAATGGTACAGCTGTCATGGATCCTTCCTTTTCTCTTATACTTGTGCAGATATTTACAAAACAACGTCAGTTTAAAAAAAAAAAAGCTTCAATTTTTTTGTGAGAAAACAAGTTCTTTTAGCTGTAAACAGTAGGCTAAGTGTAGATAACCAAAAGTGTTGGAAAATGGTACAGCTGTCATGGATCCTTCCTTTTCTCTTATCATGTGTAGATATGTACAGTCAGTTCTTAAAGAAAAGCTTCCAGTTTTTAATGAGAAAACCCCCACTAAAGTTATTTTAGCTGTAAACAGGAAGGGACGCAGACCCAAAGTCCAGGAGGCGTTTCTTCACATTGATCTGACTTTCAGAGCCATGAATTACCTGACTTGTTCTTTAGGCGGAGGAATAGGAGTGGTAAATCTAGCGTAGGGACATTGTTTTTTTATGAATAGGCCCCTCTCCCGTCTCCAGGGAAACACTTTCAACTCCTGGCAGCAGCCAACAGTTTGGGCACAGAAAGGCCCACTATGGGGTCCTCAGGGGAAGACAACAGATGTTCCTGATCAACTTTGCTCACAGACCAGAAGTGTTTTTCACAGTGCAGATGGATAAAACAAAAGTTGGACACAATTCAAATTTCATGTTTAGCAATATTTATTTGGAAAAATAGTCTTGGCTAATTCCTTCATTCAAAAACGGTAAAGGAGACGGTAACATAACAATTTGTACAGTACAATCCCTCTTAAATAACATTTTCTTTAAAAAAAAGTCCCATTGACCTGAAGTGCCTTTGCAAAATATCATCATTAATTAAAAAAAGCAACTTAAATAATCATAACAAACATCACAAATATACAATACGAAATAAAAATAACACAAAATCATTAAATTAACTTAAATTAAATCATAATTTTAAACTTTTTTCTTGTTTTTTTCTTTCTTTATTTTACAAAATCTGTATCAAAAAGCAACATTTTATTTATTTAATTAAGACAAAAGTTTTCATGTCCCGAAAAGAAACTGAAAAGAGTTGAACAATACTATGTCATAAATGGTTTTGGAGGGCTTAGGGAAGGAAAACGCACTTCAGTGTACACAGCGATCAATACATTACAGTCTTCACAGTGCAGCGATGGGTGCACAGCCCAAAAACAGCTTCGAGAAGAACAGGCCAGTATGGCCAAACATCCACCGTTTGATGCAGTTCCTGCGCTCAGCAACACGTGTGGGTTAGAGAAAAGGCCTGGGTGCAAATGTTGCAAAAACAAAAAAATCGTAGCGTCGCACGTTAGCGCCACGAGACAGTGTCCGTTTATATTTTTTTACTATTTTTACTCCCCGATAAAAGGCAGAACAGAAAGCTAAGTGGCAGTTTACTTTCAACCGTAAACTTTGTATTTATACCCCGCCAGTTCTTATCCCACACGCTGCCTGCGCTTATTTTTTTCCAGTAGAGAACCAGCTCACTCTGAATATCAGTTAAACGTCTCAGTATCAGCAGCAGTCTCAAGGCGGGACACCTCCCCCTAGGGTTTAGAGCAGCATCTGAAGGAGTATTAAAACTCTCCCATAGAGCAAATGAGCAACGGGCAGCCCACTGGTGGCTCGTTACACCTGGAGGGACACGAGAAGACAAAAGAAACGTTAGGGTTTGTTCGACAGACGACCACAGAGAGACGAGTTTCAACACTGAAATGTACAACCGAGTAAAACATCGGAAACTCACCTCAGTTGCAATTATACATTCGTCCTTTTCCTCTGACATCACAAACACAGATTTGTACTTGGTGTCCGCACATGCAGACATTTCTGGGGCGTTCTTTTCTGATGAATCGCTTTAAGAAAGAAAGAAAGACGTGGTTAGTTTTATCGTTCTGATAGCTTCAGTGCTACATTAGCTTCAGTGCTACATTAGCTTCAGTGCTACATTAGCATTAGCATTACATTACATTAAGCTCTTTGAGCACCAGGAAAAGCGCTGTATAAATCACATGTATTATTATTAGAGACCGTCAGACAGATATTTACCATTTTAATCGTTTGCTGCGTTTCTCCTCAAACTCAAACGAGTCGTGGGATTGGCACTTGTCTTCGCTGGCCGCCTCCAGCATGGCTTCCTTCGCCGCCTGCTCGTAGTTGACCTCCTGTA